CCTCCCTGTATTCTTGTTACCATTTCATCCACCTGCTCTTATATAACGTGTAGATTTAATTATAACTGACAAGCTTTTGGAAACTAACACTACTTTCTAGTATTCCGTTTCAACCATTCCTTGTTGTCCTAATGTCCTATTATAATAAATAGCAATAAATAAGTTACAAATATTTTTAGTGTTAACAAGACTAAATTTGGATTACATTAGATCAGACTAGATCACTAACTGTTTGGGCAATTACTAATCCTGCATGCATTCAACAACCACAAGTTCTAAGTATAATTATTGGAAAAAAGTTAGGCTCGTTTAACTGAAAATGTCTGATAGCTTCATTCAAATTTTCAGCCAAGTATATATATATGTTTTTTTAATTATTTGGTTTACCAATTCAAAGGAATAATAATGAGTCTTGTTTTTCCTACTGTCCCTCATTCCTTCTTTAATTGTCACCATAATTTAACACGATGTTATGTTGTAAAAATTTAATTAAGGCTCTCAACAATACCATCTGATGGGGTTAAAACTAAATTATTTAGAGCTCATAGCTTATTCTGCATCTTAGATGGTATCTTATGTTGTGCACAAATGCACACCGTACGGGGAACAAACAGGAGGAACTAGAAATCTGTGTGCAGTCAGACCTCATTTTGATTACAGAGACATGGTGGGATAACTCACCTGACTGGATTGTTGAGAAAGAACTAACCTACATAACTGAAGTACAGAATTTACTCTATAAGCGAATATTTGAAATACAATGCTTTTGATTTCTGCCAATGAAATAAATAAAAATTGTTAAGAGAGTTATGAAATGAAACTTAACTTGAGCAGACATTTCAAAGGTATCTATCAAAACTATTTTGCTATTGTTTTGGTAAGTACCTTCAAAAGAAAAAAGTACTTTTAAAAATTGTATTTTAGTATGCAGTAGAACAAGTAAAGAAAACTCAGAGGAGACAAGAATAAACCAAAAAGGATCTTACCTCTTGTGTCCTTACAGACTAGTCCTTTGCTCCTAACTTGATTTCAGCCTGGAAATTTGGTTTCTTTTTTACTCACTTTGGTTTTAGGCAGTCCCTTCTGGTTCCTAGGAATTCTTTCTTTATCACACTTTGATCTTTATTTGCAACAGTATTGTTGTAGTCTTTATAGTGCTGGGAGATTTCTTGTCTGTTACCTTTTCAGAGTAATACAATATATGTAGTGTCATACAAATAAAACACCATAAGTTGCAAAATGTTAAAGTGATTGTTACACTTTTGTGTGTTTTTGTCCTTCATCTTTCCCAGCTTTTAGAGATGGTGACTCCACCATGTCCCTTGGCAAATTATTCCAATGCCTAGTAACCCTTCCAGTGAAACTTTCTAGACCTCCCTTGGCACAACTTAAGGCCATTTCCTTCTTATCCTTTCACTTGAGGCATGGCAGAAGAGACTGACCCTCACCTCACTACAACCTCCTTTCAGGTAGTTGTACAGAACAGTGAAGTTCTGCCTGAGTCTCCTCTTCTCAACACTAAACAATCCCAGTTCCCTCAGTCATTCCTCATAAGACGTATTTTCTATACCCTTCACCACTTTTGTTGCTCTTCTCTGGACACGCTCCAGCACCTCAATGTGCTTTTTGAAGTGAGGGGCGCAAAACTGGACACAGTACTCAATATGTCATCTCACCAGTGGGTGAGTGTCACCTCACCACTGAGTACAGTGGGATAATCACTTCCCTAATGCTGCTGGACAGACTAATCTTGATACAGACCAGGATGTCATTGATCTTCTTGGCTGCCTGGGCACACTGCTGGTGTGTGTTTAGCTGGCTTTCAGTCAGCATCCACAAGTTCCTTTCTGCTGAGCATCTCTCAAGCCACTCTCCTCCAGCCCCATAGCACTGCATGGTGGTGTTGTGACTCAAGTAGCACTTTGCCTTATTGAACTGTGGGCAGTTGCCCTTGGCCCATCAATCCAGTCTGTCAAGATCTCTCTGTAGAGCCTTTCTACCCCCAGGCAAATCAAGAGTCCCATCTAACTCAGTGTCATCTGTGAACTAAGGGTGCACTCAATCCCCTCATCCAAATAATCAATAAAGACCTTAAGCAGTACTGACACCAATACTGAACCCTAGGGAACACCACTAGTGACCAGACACCAACAGTCAACACCTGACTGAGGAACTGGTGTCATGTACCAGACTTTTGGGCCACAGGACTCCAGAATATTCAGCAATGAGGCAAGAGAAAAAATCAAAAAAGTCTTTTCAATGAGAGTGATCAAACACTTGAATAGAATGCCTGAATAGGCTGTGAAGTCTTCATACCTGGAGATTTTAAAAAGGTGAAAGGATGAGTCCCTAAACAGTGACATCCAGATTTGATATGTGCTCCACTTTTACTGATCTAGGACTGAAGTCTCTGAAGCTCCCTTTGAACTGGAATTAGGGTTCTGTGCTCCTCTAAACAGCATGTGAAAATTAGGTTAAACTTGTCAAATGGAGGAGGCTGCCCCTGTCTATTGAGAGTAACTGAACTTGAACAGAAGGTTCAAGAAAAGGCAACAGTCCAGAGCAGACAGAACTAACAGACATGAAGCAGATGAGGCTTCCACCTGCATCTCGGTTGAGATGTTGAGAGGATTAATGAACTGTCAGATAAGTCTCAGTGATGTGCAAAACTTCCTAGGGCCAAAAGAAGATTTTTAGAGTTGGCTGTTAGCCAGGAAGTGGTTCTTTTCCTTGACATCAAGCCAAAAAGCAAAAGCCTATCAGAAAGGATAGGGAAGGGTCTCACTGATGTTAGGCTAGTAGCTTGGAACTGGTTTCCTTTAAAGAACAAATTACACAGGTTCAACTTATAAAACACTGTTATTAGGTTTATTATAATAAAATAATTACTATAGCATAATATTTTGGGGTTTTTTCCTTTTTTTATTTCTCTTTTTCTTCTTTTTTAAAGTTTGTTTAAAAAAAAAAAAAAAAGGAATTTCAAGCAAATTTCCCTGAATGAGCTGAGGTATGATCTCCTATTCTGCAGAGATTCAAAACTTGCTTAAAAAGATTCAGACAATCTTTAGTACAACATAATTTTAAAATTACTGTATATTATACTGGACCTGGAAAAATTACCTTATTATGTTTACAAATATTTGTTTTTTATTCTGAAAGTATGGAAGTATGATTATAAAGGCATTGCACAAGACCATTTCCTACAGAAAAGTTGAGTGAATTTTGTAAGCTAAAATGAAACAAGATAAAATCAATAAGGATTTTGTTTCTCCAGTTGTCGTGTTGTTTTTTTTCCTAAGATGTGACTGAGAAAAGACACGGCCACTAGAGGGCAGAGACAGATAGCTTTTTAAATACACTAAACCTAATTCCGTCTAGAAGTACTTTTGATGTGACAAGTTGGTAATTTTAGACTGCTAATGAATTCCTGAGCTAGCTAACGACTACAGAGGAATGAAAGATAGATTCAAATTCAAACTTTCATTTGAATAGCATTAATTAAGGTATGTGAGTCAAAATAATTTAAAAAATTACTAAGGACATAATTTAAGGTAATTGCAAAATTACTGACAAAACATGCAATCTGTAATGGAACGATGATGGGAAGAAAATATATGAGTGTGATAAAGTAATTGTGAAAGGAAAAAGTAATGCTAATTGGGGAAAAGGGAAAATAATATTTCCTGATTTCCTTTGGGGGCGGAAGTTTGTTACATACTGCTATGCTTACTGAAATAAAATATAGTGGACTTTTTACTGATTATTTCCCATAAGGTTTATTTCACAGCTTGTTAATAGAACATATTCATACTAGGTGCCTTTATATAGCATATCATTCCAAATATCTTAAGATGAATTTACTCTATATAAATACATATAGAAATTTATAAATAAATGTGTAAGCACTTACCATTGTGTTGTGTTGGTTTCATTAATTTTCTCAGGTGCTAGATTGGAAAGAACGTAATCTTTTAATCACATTTAAACATGAACTTTATTATTTTATATTAGCTTACTGATGTCTTTATAAAGTTTCTATAAAAAATATATGTGACAATGCTATAAAGTATTTTGTAATAGCAAAAGTATGAATTGTTTTCGGTATTGCCGTAATAGATATACATAGCTAAACAGCCTTTTTTTTGGCTGAAATTCAACTCAGGGAATAAAACACTAAAATATATTTTCTTGCTCCATTACAATAGTCAATGGAGAGCTGGAATACAATTCAGTTACCTGAACACAAACTGTTAATGTTTTATGAGACAACTTAGCCTATCCGATTAATTCAGAAGGGTTTGGCAGCTGTCATGTCCAAACTACAGAGACATTCAGCTTTTGGAGGGCTTCTGGACCCCACAAAGAATATGCTGGGTAACCATGTGCATCTATGCAAGCAACAGGACCAACCCCGGTGTTATACTTAAAATCTGATTTATAGGTAAAGAAGAAGCACACCTTTCAGATATGTACAATCAAGAATTTATTGTTAATATAAATAGGATCTTAAGAATCTAATCAGTTTTAGTCCACATCTAATTGTTGTGGAAGAATAACAAATAATAATGCAGATAAAACTGTTATACACATACTTCTTTTATACCCCTCTTCCTGCTGATATGTTCACCCTTCCCTGCTCCTTAGAGTCCTAAGGTTGGTGGTTTCCTTCAGGTGGTATGTGGGAGGGCATTGCCATTTTCAGAGTCTGGAATTTTTTGTCAAGAAAAATATGACATTCATGTCAATGGTTCTTATTCTTTTGTCTAGGATCCAGTAAGGATCATTTTTGTATGCTTGTAAACACACTTGTACATATTTGCTCTTTTATCACTGATTTGCTTCCAAAGATATAGTACCTTTTACCTATCTTTGATATTGCTGCTTTGTTGCTTTCAAAACTAGTTTTTCCCAACTGGCTATGTTACCTGAGGTCATCCGTCACGGAACAGAAGGAATGGATTTGCTTCCAAGGAGAAGGAAGATGACCCCAAGATGACCCTAATGCAGGCCCTGCTCCAGCAGCAGAACATGGAGACCAATGCAGGGCTGGTGTTAGCAACAGGTCTCATTAATGGTACAAAGATCTTTAGATACACACAATGTGAAAATTTACAGCTAAAGTCAACCCACAAACTCCACCAGAAAGTCAGGAACATCAGGGGACAGAGATGGTCAGAGGCACACCTACAACATAGCACCAGGTCAGCCCTGGGTGCCCAGGCCTAAGCTGAAATGGAACTCCTGGGTCCACTGTCAGGGTGTTCCAGGTAAGGCTGGCCCAAGACATTAACACTTAATGGTACCAGTATAAAGAAGTTTGTAAGTCAATATGGGAAGATAAATTATGATATCTATAAGATTTCTGGGGGAAAATACCTCTTTTATATATATAGATAGATAGATAAATATATATATGTGTGTGTGTGCTTTTACAATTTTTAAAATAAAACATAAGGTAAATTTTAGGACTAATTTGAAGGATTCTGGTTCTGTTCTTCCTTTCCTTGAAAAGCAATTTTTTTTTCCACATACTGAACAAATGGTTCTCAAGTTTACTAGGAGTAAGAGCAAGGTAAGAATGAGAGAGGCATGTAGTCCTCAAGGAGACCAGCTGGTAACCACATTGTAGGATGTGTAAACTGAGACCACTGTTGTGCTTATCATGATTATGATTGTTTTTTCCAGAATTAGAAACACAGAAATAGAATGCATGGTCTGAATGAAGATATTCAACTACTACAACACAGACCAGATCATGTTACAGTCAAGACAAAAGAGACAACAACTCTTGTGGATTTAAAGTTCTGAATCCCAAAGGAGAAAAAAAAGTAGTCATAAGGAAAACAAATTTATTAAGATAGACACCATCTGATTAAATATCTTCTGTATATTTCAGTCTGAGAACACACAGCAAATCAAAAAACTCAGTTAGAGAACAAGAATTATTTTCTGTTCATCCACATTCTAAATTGGATAAGCATTTGTGCACTAATGGAAATCAGATAATTCTGTTTCATATATGTTGGCATCTCTTTATGTAATGGTTCAACTTTCAAGTAATTCGAGCACAGATTATTACAATAAATTAAAATATCTAATGTGCTTGATTGGATTCTAGAAAATATAAGAAAACATACACCACAGTCAGCTAAAAAAAAGAAAAAGGAAGAAATATTCTTGTTGAATTACCCTGAACTCAGATTATTCAGTGACAGTGAGTATAATAGAATAGTTAAAATAAAAAGTAACACTTAAACTACAATTAATCTACTGGTTTATTTACTTGGTATTGCTGTTATTTATCGTAACAAAGAAAAGAGTTACCAGGTCATCAAGGCTAATAACTGAATAAACTTCCCTTAAATGTCAAAATTTTAAATTCAAAGAAATAGAAACAGCTTGAAAACCATTAAATTAGTGATAACGAACAACACAAGACAAGCTTGTATTTCACAATGTCTTTCTTACTGGAAGGTAAAAGTATTGTATTTGAAAGTTTATAACTCTTGACTTTATATTTTAACAGACGTTTTATTTTATCATTTATGCTGTTATAAAATGACAGTATGTCATTTAGCACAACTTTTCACAACATTGTAATGATTTAAGAGTTCATAGGTATTTAAAAGTCCATAATGATAGTTTATTTGCCTTTCAAGGCCAAGTTGGATGGGGCATTCAGCAACCTGGTCTAGTAGGAGGTGTTTCTGCCTATGGCAGGTGGTTGGAAGGTCCCTTCATATCCAAATCGTTCTGTGATCCTATGAGGCTTTCCCATAATCAGTAGTGCACTGTGTTTCAGAGATTATTCTTATACTGGAAGTATGAAATAAAATGTATTGATTTGTGGGTTTAGGATGAAGCAGTCTGTAAAGATGAAAGTCTTACATTCTTTAAGTAGGTTGAACTTGTAAATCAACCAAAACCCAATTAGGTTTTTTTTCATTGAAGTACGTAGAAATTTCTTCAGAAGTTTCATGGGCTCTTTGTCTACCAAAAGATCATTGTTAAAAAGTATAGGGCCAGAAAAGATAACTATTTATCCTTCTGTATCTTCTTTTCTGTTGTTCTTCATGAAAATCTTGAACCCACTGTCTAATCAGTGAACTACTTTAGATATCGTTTTCATCAATACTGAAAACTTCCTTCATAGTGCAAGAACTTGAAGGTTCTTGAATGAAAGTCTCAGTGGAAAAAGGAATGTAAAAGATACATAAGTGTGTCACTAAGAACAAAAAACTGAAACCCCAAATACAAATCTTTCTTTAAAACAAAACTGCTGTTTTAAAAACAAAGACTAAGAAAAAAGTGATTGTATATGGCGTCACTAAATATTTACTATGAGTAATACCCACCTTCTTTTGTAACCTGATATCCTAATTCATCTGCATGAGGCACTTCTCTTTGATGCAACTACCACCTTGCAGATAATCTTACTCCCTAATAAGACAACAAATTTAATAAATGCAAGGGGAGAGCTTTCTGACTGAGGTACACAAAATCTTGCTTTTTGCCATGAATTCAAGGAATCTGGATTTTACCGTGTCTGATCAGGAACTGGTAATTTAACAAATTTTAGAGGTAAGATTTCATTCTAGGGCTACAAGGAATGCAGGAAACAAATTAATTGTCTTGTTTTATTGCTGTTTTTTCTGATTTTTCTGGGCTTGTTATTTGTATGATTATTTGTTTCTTGGGGTAATAATCTTTTGCAACCACAGATAAAATTAACTATTAATAAAGTGTGAGTCCATTTTTTCCACTCCGCTATTGATGTGCAAGACAAAAACACACTTTCATGCCTTTGTTTACTTAAATCAACTCTAATTTTCATCATCGTCACACTCATAAAATAAAGGTATTTCTTAATATTTTGATTTTGCTATTAATCTGCAGGAATGCAAGTTAAAAAACAAACAAAAAAACCCCAACAAACAAAGCCAAAGCCAAAAACCAAATTATGAACATGAATAAGATCACCAAAACTCAGATATGCAAGAGATAAGCAGCAACATGTGTATTTATATTTGCTAAATTAGACTGTTAATTCAGTGAAGTGAATAGCAAAATTTCCAATTATGTCATTAGGGCCAAAATGTGAAAGCATTCTAGTCTTTGTTAGATAGTTGCAGGCAGATACGCATATATATTTCAACAAATGCATTATTTCATGAAATATAATTATTATTAAAAATTGTAGAGAAAGTGACAATAATTTCTGATGTTAATACTGAGCTCCAATTCAATCAAAGGCTTGTCATTTTGCTGTTGTGAAAAAGATATTGAACCCTGAAAAATTTCATGTCAGATGTCATCTATTTTCAATTTACATATTCACATACTTATTATTTTTAGAATCACTAATAATTAAGATGCTAAGAGGAATTGATTACAGATAACCTTTATGACATAGCTTCTTTTAGGTTTCTCATGACAAGATAGACTACTGTTTTTACAGTAGTAGCATACTTCTGCAGATAGCTGTTAAAATTATGCCAAAGACATAGTCAGATTTTGAAACTGATTGTGACAGGAAACATGTAACTGCAAAAGAAGCTGTTCCAAAGAGCTTGCAGGTAAATAGAGAGAAGGAAAAGCTGCTATTCCTCAACAATATATAAGTCAAGTTGGTAGGCTAAAAATGTTACTTATTGCTCTCCCCAGGATTTCAAGAGGTATTTTCTGCACTTTTTCATATTATATTTGAACTATAATAAATTTCAGATTCTTTCTTTGATAATATTTTTTCCCTAACCTTTTGTAATCCTGGAGTAATCAATAGAGAAAATAAATAATAATTTTTCTAAGTGATTAAAATATAACAGGGGTTGTGAACTATCTGAAAGTTGCTCAGGTTTTTACAGACTTTTCCATGAATCTAAAGTAAAATAGCTTAAATTTTTGGTGGTAAAACTAGTAAACTATTAAAACTAGTGGGTTTTACTTTGCTAGATTACAGCTATAAACAGATAAAAAATAATTCTCCTTCTCCAGTAAGTTAAACATATCGTTTGAATTAGAAAAAATGATGTTCATAGTTTAAAATCAATGCAAAAAGACTTACAAAAATTTTAAAAACTGTCCATTTATGATATTTTAGTTGAGAGGTACTGCCAGAAGAGGGCGATAAATATCAATATATTGAACTATAAATTTATGGCAATCTTGCCTGCCTTCACTGCAAGTTCAGTGTTCACTTGAATCTATGTACGTTATTTTGCACAAGAAAGACTGCTAAACTTTCCATGTTGACAAATACTTAGTTCAAAGAGGACCAGGGTACTGCAAGGCTTTCAAATATACTCTTTGCACATTTTCAGAATGAAAATATATCCCTGTTTAATTCCCACCCTTCCAACCCCAAAGACAAATATTTGAAAATAAGTCATAATAATATGATTGTATATTATCAATGTATATGTATACTAAAAAAGAGGAAATATAAGGATAACTGTGGTTTAAAAAAAGTCATCAAAATTCTTATTTTGATCTTTTCTTTCTTTTTCTTTTAAACTAATTTCCTGATGTACATTCTTATTCAGCTACAAAGGAATTACAGATTATGACGGACAAGTGATGATATTTGTTCTGGTGGTGTGTAAAATATGATGCAAAATTAATTATAACAGATTTTTCATATAAACTGGAAAATATGAAAGCAGTATTATTAGTGTGGTTCTTATCAGGTCCACATTCTTTACTTGATAAAGCAGTAGTCTGTAATATGGAGTCATGGTCACAAACAGGATACATCTTAGCTCTCCTGACTCTCAAGCCACCTGACTCAGGTCAGCCACCTGACTCTCAAGTCAACCATACTGCATTTTAGATCCAGCAGCTTCATGCTGATGATCTGCCATCAACCTTCTGTGGCTTGATCAGTGTTCTTTCTACTAATGAACAGATTTTTGCAGAATTTACTTTTGTATCTTACTGATCTGTACTTAAAAGCTGCTTCTCCATATGTTATCTCTGTGATGCATTACACTGGATGAAGAAAACAAGTTTTACATACTCTAAGTATCTCTTAATATCACACAGAACATGGGGTATCAGTGTTTTGTTTGGTTTTGGTTTTACTCTTTCTTTGTAGATCAAATTTCACAGAATTAAAGATTAAAAACAAATTAAAATTGCAAGTTAGCACTAGGAAAAATGTGAGCATGTTTAATGGTAGCATATTACCTAATATTATTTGGTCAATTATTTGTTTATAAAGTAGTAACTATTCAAAAAATCACAATAAACGGGTGCATTTCCAACAGCTTTGTAGGGTCAGCAAAAGCTTTGATAGAAATAAATGAGTGGTTTTCCTGTTTACTTCAGTGTTAGTCTTCTTGAGAGTTCAGTGGGTAAATCTTAACCACCATCCCCTTGGAAAAAGTGGCACACAACTGGAGAGCAACAAAATAATATAGAGACAACACATTCTTTGTCTTTGCAATCATATGGACATATGTACGTATACAATACCCTATATATATATGATCTTTATTTACTCACATTGCATTATTTTGATTTGCTGCCTGAAGTTCAAATTCAGACATTCCTTGTAATTTACTATAATTTATTTACTATCTATATAAATAATAAATGAATGCATTCATGTTCAAGCTCTTGAGCAGTTGATACTTCCACAATTAAAAAAAGACATGCACTTAAATACATGCAACTATGAAATGCAATTTGTATTGCTAGGAAATGAAAAAAATTAGCATAATGCTGACAGTGCCAAAAGAATAAAAAAAAATATCTGAAACATAGAACCAGTTGATGTAGAAGTTTGAAAACAAAATGTGGCAGTATTGTTAGAATGGAAAAATATTTTTTCCTACTTGCATCCACTGAGCCAATAAAGATTGACTAATTCTAATTTTGGTGTTTCAATAGGCAAGTGTAATGCATTTTAATGAAAGCATATCTGTTTGAGCTTCAAATTAGTGATTATTCAAGGAATGTATGTGTTTATGCTGAACAGCTGTGAAAAATGATTGATACTTTGATAATCAAAGTAGTGGCATCAGTCTCTTGATTTTTAATGCTTGCTTGTTTTGTGTTTTTGACATAGTACAACTACTTGAGTATTTTAGAATGATAACTGAATTATTTTATCAATTTCGGACAGAACACCTGTTATCTTCCTTAGGTTTTATATGGATTTATTCTTTGGTTCATACTTTAACTAGAAGTTCATTGAAAGTGTCCAGTGCTTCTAAACTCACATCCTTTGATATGAGAAATATTTTCTCCAAAATAGCCTTA